TGTGGACAACAGGGGACATTTATGCATTTGACGCCCAAATTTGTGTTAAATGGTACTGTGGCAAGGTTATATGGCACCCCTCCAGGTAAGTCTATCAAAGAACTATTGTAATATTGTAATATACAGTATGCTTGAAAGAAGAGTTCTAAACATGCGCACAGTTTGATGCCAGTATCGGGGAGAAAAAGCACATTACCATGTATGTAGTATGAAATATGTTTTAATAAAAAAATTAATAATAATAATTAAAAAAAGACGGCACAATATTGAAAACGGTGCGATTTATAATTCGATGTGTAAAAAACGATATTTATATCACCAACTTGGGTGTGGGCATATGGAAACTGTTTTGTTTAATTTGAACTTATTCAAAACGGTCGATGGTAACTGACCAATCAGAGGGCAAGAATTCACTTTGTCCTCAGGTCAACCAGTGGTGCACGTAATGTGACCAAATCGTGTTTCTTAATATAGCTTTGAGGGTACATACATGTATATATATATTTTCTTAATATATTCAACTATTAAAAAAAAAAAAAAAAATTGGCATTGTTGAACAAATTAATCATGAGGTCGTGGTACAACCCCGGAACGTATGGAGTATTTAATCAAAATTTGAACTCAAACTACATGTATGTCTACTAAATGTTGATCTAACTCTCCGCTTTATCTTAATCAAAAGTGTTCATTTACAATATTGTTACAGATACCCCACAGAAAAGAGTCGGAAAGCCTGAGACGTTTTGCTGTCTCGTTTTTCAAACTAAAATGTTTATGTGTTGCCTTTTACATATACAAGAATCAGTGTAGCATGGGTCAGAGTGCATATATCTCAGTTCATTTTGTCACTTTCCGTTCAAATTATTCTTTCATATTTCAGCAAAGACTATACTGCACGAATGGGGACATTTGCGTTGGGGTTTGTTTGACGAGTACCCAGTCGGCGAGAATAATTTTCATTTTTACCACGATTCTACCACTGGGCGGGCAGAGGCCGTGCGATGTTCCCTGGACGTGTTAGGCTCGAAATATAAGATAGTTAATGGAGCAGTCATATGGAATTGTAACACAGATAAAACAACAAACCTCCCAGAAAGGAATTGCAGATTCGCCGCTGCAGTGTCCAACAACGAAGGAACTGCCTCTCTCATGTCGCATCATTTCGTGCATTCGGTAAGAAATGATATTGGCACATTTTCGAAGCCTATGACCCGATTCAGGTAGACATATCATACTAGTTGGGTCGTCACATCTCTGCGGGGGATTCTCCCTAAGTGCAATCTGCAGAATCAGTTTAATTATCTAACACTCTTCTGCGAGCAGCTAGGGGCAATAAACCCAGATACAATTAATCATGGTTCCTCGAGGATGAATGCTGTTCAGTTAAGCCGATTGCACTTACTCAGAGTTGGACCGACCCAATTAGTACATGTTCGATGTGTTTTCTGATCGTTCCCATTAAAACTGCTATTCCAAGGTTTAAATGGCATCATTAAGCTTCTTGCAATTATCAATTTTATTATCAGACTTAATAAAAATTGATAATTGCAAGAAGCTTAATGATGCCATTTAAACCTAGGAAAAGCAGTTTTTTAAAAAAGCATCTGTCACTAGCATTCTCCTACTAGTAATTATCTTCCAAATCGTTTTTCACATCATAGGTTTTACAGGCAGTAGAAGTACCAACTTGCTATACATGTATACTATAAACATTATCTCAATAAAAATGGTTTTTTGGCTACGCCATAATTCAGAACCCATAACGAGCGCTATTTTAGGCTCTATTCCCATAGATTTTAGATCGATCTATCCCCGCGGGGAGTCTCACTAGATTACTTTCTGATAATCCGACTTAAATGTCCGTCCCGCCTACTACAATCTGTAAGGGGATAATTAATTTTCGTGTCCGCCCGGCTGACAGCTATTTAGCGTGAACCCCCAAGGAGTTAGGTCGATCTAAAGTAGGTCGATCTAATCTATGGAAATGGGGTGTTAGTGATATTTCAATATACATTCAACCAATGTTGTCTACCTGTTGGGGCTCACATATCATTGCAGGTGTCCGGTTTCTGTGACAATGACACACAGGACGTCCTTAACCTACATAACGGCCAAGCTCCGAACAGGCAGAATAGACTGTGTGGAGGAAGAAGCGCCTGGGAAGTCATGAGGGAACATGACGATTTCAAGAACAGTAAGGCCCAGGTCTCATAATTTGCAAGAAAAATAGACAATGGTTATAAAGGCTGGCAATTCAATTGCAATTTACGTGTTTGAGATGAATATAAATTCGAAGAAATCAACCTCTTCGAAAAATGTGATTTTTTTTTATATTTAGAAACAACACATACATTTATCCTTCTTCGCTCCATGTAATTCAAACAAAATGCCAGCATGATATCTTGATATTAAAATAATAGGGATGTTCATATTTCATTGCTTTAGATCATAATCCTGCTGTACCCGGTGATGTAGATACAACTCCCACCTTCAAAGTGGTACAGCAAGCACCCAAGAGATATGTACTGGTTATCGACGTTTCCGGAAGTATGGGTGGTGTAAGTGCCCTGTATTTATTCCAATATTTCTCTGAACAATTCATTTTTATGACCAACACACCTGCATGCATACACATACGTGTATGTTTTCATGTATTGCGTTCATTTGACTTGTGTTAATTCAAAGAGTGACAAGCACTCTAGCAATGTTTGGTGTATACTGGCAGTTGTCGCCTCCTTTAATGTCCTCATGCAGTCATAGATCATGCTTCAACCATGCTGCAATCATGCTGCCATAATTTGGGCACAACACAAACTACTGTGACCAAGACCTCATCGACGGAGACAGTAAAAACTGTTTGAAGAAAGATTCACTTTCCCCACAGGAATTTTAGAACCGTCTTAACTCTCAACAACATTTCGTTCAACATTTTAGAACAGGTTAGAGAACTTGAAGAAGGTGTGCGCTGGTTTTCTGCTCAACACTGTTGACGAAGAGAGCCAAATCGGCATAGTTACTTTCAGCACTACAGCTACCATAATGCAAAACCTAACGGCACCGAGTTCCAAAACAGTGAGAGAAAACATGGTTTCTGTTGTAAATGGACTAAGGGCCGGGGGAGGGACATGCATTGGTTGTGGTCTCGAAAAAGGGATAGATGTAAGTTGACATCATATTCCTTAATAATCACACTGTGTATGCAGGTGTTATGCCAATTAAAAGGAATAGGTATCTCTGGTGAAAAACAGCAAATAAAGTGTTTGTTCGGGCAAGTTCATTTCAAAACATGTTTAGAAAAATGTAGAGCATGATATTAATAAAGGTACATTTATATTCCATTACTTTAGATCATAATGTACAGGACTCCAGAAATGACCGGAAAAGGGTAGTATAAAGCGAGGGAGCGGCATGATAATGCTTTATTGCTATCCGCTTGTCAAATACGTGGTTTTGCGAATGGTAGTGACACACTGTAGGTGTGTATAACCTAATCACCATCAGTAAGGTTTTGAATATGTGCTGGTACAGCTTAGAATATTCTCTTCTTTTCTGTTGTATCATCCGGTAAATTTGACATTGTTTCAACCAGGTTTTAGAAAACAACAACAAGGTAGCAGCTGGAGGTATTTTAATTTCCGTCAGTGATGGACAGGAACATAGTGGACTTCGACCAAACTTGGCAACAGTGAAACCAATCCTGATAGAGAAGGAAGTCGTAATGGACGCCTTACTTTTTACGGATTCAGCTGATGAACAACTGATATCATTAGCTAAAGACACCGGTGGACTTTCGTTTTATGAAACAGAAAATGTTTTATCTACTTCTCTAACAGACGCCCTATCGAAGACTATAACTCAAAGGCACAGTGGCCAGACAGATGTCATACTCCAGGTTAAATTTTGTTCCTTTGAAGCATGCGTTAATTTATTTGTAGTTACATGACTTGAAATACTTTGCGTAAGGATAATTATAGACTCCCGCATCGCTCAGCAGGTGGCAGGATGTGATGACGTGACTTTTGAGAAATGTTTCATTTGTGAATATAATGGAATGTTTGAGATTTAATCAAAGTGCGAGTAGGCGATATTAGCAAAGGACCTTATTACAAAAAGCGATCACTTATTACTGATCGCGTGGTAGGGATGCAAGCCGGTGTAAATGGGGCATGGACTTAATCCACTATTAAATGTTAAATTGTGAGGGAATCCGATCTTCTCCCACGTTCAATAAAAACCGCCAGATCGAAATTTACCCACTCCATTTCCAAAACAAACCGAAAAGATGCACACTGAGAGACATTCATGAAAAAGACGTTATAATTCTTTCACCTTTCATGTTATTCCGGATACACAAACAAAATTCTAGTAAGTTTTGTTATTGATATATGGTTATCGAACCATAAAAACAACTAACTACTGTAATGGCTGGTGCCATTTGCACTTTATATCTAGAACAGAAAATTGAAAGATAATACATTTTAAAACCATACTAAAAGAACCGAGCTCCGTCTATTTCACATTTGCGTGCTTCATTTTCAAACAAAACGTACTTTTCAGATATTGTCAGAATCGTTTACAGTTCCCGGTGGAGGAAGCTCTATTGAAGGTTCCTTATATATTGACAGTACTATTGGAAACAACACACGGTTTGTATTCACGTGGAGCACTGGTTCGATCACTGCGGCAGTAAGAACACCTGGCAATGTGACCTTAACACCGACTGCACAGGACTACGGGTCTGGATTACTGGGTCTTAACATAGACGGTACGGCACAGGTAAGACTACATTTATACTTTTTAAGCTTCTACTAAAATTAGTTTTCCTTTCCATCTATTAAAATAAGTTCATGTCTAGGCTGACAAGTAGAAAAACTGTCACATTTAAAGACAGCAAGACAATTAAGAGTTGATTAGGAGAATGGTTCTCATTGAAAAAAAAAGAGATTGTCGTAAAAGAATAATGGGTGCTTATTTTGTCGCTTGTTTTACATGGCATTAATATGAATAACCAGCATAGTCCAATGTCAAATCCTGTAAGTACATAACTTAAAATTCATTACCTATGGCTGCCTCATGGGTTTATTTACCTGTGCATTGTCAGATGAAAACGGGGTGTTCCCATAATTGTATGTGAAAACTTGGAATGAGTGGAATGCGTGTGCATACAGATAATGTTGCCTGTCCATATATAACTTTTTTATACAGGTCGGGAAATGGCGCTATTCTATCACAAATTCGGGTTCCATAGACGCAACTGTCCAGGTCCAGGTCTCTTCTCGACCCGCTTCAGACGCCGCGCCCATTGTGCTGAGGGCCAGTGTTAGCAGTGATACTGTAGATATTGCAGGTATAATTGGGGTAATTTTTTTCCTTACTCTATCTGTGTCAGTTTTGTTGGTAATCTGCATATATTGTTTGATACGCTGAGAATGATAGGATTAGGGTTGATTTTGATTAGGAACAGCTTATGTCTCATTAAAAAAAATGTCTAAAATTGACAAATAACGATCACCAAATTTCTATTCCACATCTGTAATAGTAAGATGTCCAACAAAGTCACTCACCTTTGTGTGCAGATTCGACCTGCTTTATCTTTAATTACATGAGCAAATGTTTACAGAAAAGTCTAGATATGTCAGTGATAAGTTGCTTACCCGTCAGGCACAAGACGAGGCGAATATAATTCTGAAATAAACCAGCACTTTGCAGAATATTGTATGACAAAAATGTTTAACAGTTAGCGTGGTAACTGATCAGTCAGAGACCTGTCAGAGAATATATGATACAAATGACTTTGGTAAACAAAAGATGCACACGGATATACATTACACGCCCATATACTTTGCAATATTCGTTCCAGATCCCAGTTTGTCTCGCATTGCCATATACGGAGAGGTTAGTCAAGGCTACACACCGATAGTTGGCGCCACTGTGGTGGCTTATGTTGACACAAGTACTGGTACCCACACATTGCATCTGCTTGATAACGGTGCAGGTGATTACACTTAATGTTAGAGTATTTGTTCTCTCGGTTTGCATTATGTCTGTGTATATAAAATTTCGTATCTTTTAAGGATATTTTGTTGCATTTGAAAATAAGGCATATAGTAGAATATCACATTTAAAGCGTTGGTATGTATTATAATTAATGAAGTCCAGTGTTTGAAAATAAAGTTTAGAGACTGTCCACTTCGCAGAAATCTCAAGAAACTTTCTTAGAGACAAATACGTACAAAAACATAATGAATTCCAATAACATGATATTATATGTGCAGGCTTACTGTAGGTTCAAAGCATAAGCTTTGTGTGAAAGAAATATACTTCTGGAAAATGCAACATTAGCCTAGCAAGAAATGCAACATTGGCCTAGCATGTTTGTCTCTTGTTTTTCGGAAAGGTGCGGATAATACCAAGAACGATGGCATTTACACGGCATATTTCCTAAAATTTGAAGCCAACGTGACGCATTCTGTGCGAGTTGTAGTGAGAGGCGAAGACGGCGTCTCAGTTAAGTCTGTGACTGGTGGACAAAAAGCCCTACCAATGGTTACCAACACGGGTAAGCTTTCCTGCATGGCAATAATAAGTCGTATTGAGGTCAGGATTGGAATCGTGGGTTTCAGAAGGTCTTGGTCGGCGGGAGGGGGGGGGGCGGGTAAACATTAAAATCGAATATTTTAATTACATTGCATTTCATATTAAGACCACAGTGTAGGGGACTCTTTTGAAATATATCCATTCATCTTGGAATTTGACTCTGAACGTCTTTGCAAACTTGACAAATAGCCAAGATTTAGCGAACTTGACAAATGTAAGATTTAGCCCGCACTTGGTGAGATAAGTTGGAGTACTTTAAGCACACACTTGTTATTTATGGCACTTTCGAGAAAGGTTTATATGTCTATCTAAATTCTTTCTTAGTCTGCACCGACGTAACTAGGTGTCGTTCGTGTCGCCAGTGATCGAAAGACTGTCTTTGCTTTCCCACTCAGAGATCGTCATATATGTATAAATGTGACAGAACGTATCTGCCTTCACCACTATTAATGTAATTTGTCATCATTTACAGCAAAACTTTGGAGTCTGTTTTTTTTTCTTATAGCTGTAGCAAACGCCCACAATTTTGAAATCACATACAAACCAATAGACCCATTCATGCGTTCCGATAGCGGGGGACTATTTACCGTCAAAAATCTTCCAATTTTTACGCCCGGCTCAGAGCCACCAGATCTCTACCCTCCTGGCAGAATCTACGACCTGACAATGGAAGCAGTTAATACTGATAATAAAACTGTGACACTGTCCTGGACAGCCACTGGTGATGATCTAGATCAGGGCAATGGTAAGTACTTTGTATGAGTTATTTGTAATTATAGGCCCGCGTTACCATTTTTTACGCCTTTCCAAAGAAATAAGGTCGACCTGTCTTAATGCGACCGGTACCTAAGAATAAATTAAACAGCTGTTACTTCTCCGGTTACGCAAAACTTACCAAATGCAACGAATTCAATCCCCTGTTGACTCGCGCAAACAGCATTGCAGCACGCACTACGTGGCTTCTAGAACAAACCCGAGGCAGTCTTCGCTCTAGCTTTATGAAAATAATAATAAAATCAAGCACTAAAGTCACCACCATCATTCAAGAATTTCTATTGTATTTTCTATGAATACAAAGGTACATCTGCATGGTCGCACAAAGAAGGGTTGACATATCTGTAACGATAACACGCCAAAATGTGGCGGTATATTTGGCACATAAATACATATGGAAACAAAAATATTATTCGCTGTTTAACTAAATAATTGTGAAAATAATGAAATTTATTTAGAGTCTTAAAAATCCATTATAAAAAATTAAAAATTTAAAGATAGGTTTTGAGTGCCTTTTTAAAATCGTCTTCTGAGATTATAATCCTTAGTTCTGATGGTAACTGATTCCATTCAAACGGGGCTGCGTCTTGAAAATACTTTTCTTCAAATGTTTTGCAATATGAATAAGTTTATATATAACATACTTCCAATTACTATCTTATTAAACACTTATATTGTTACAGCGTCCAGCTACGACATCCGATACAGCACTTCAGTATCGGATATCCGGTATAATTTTATGAAATCGAATAAGTTTCTTGATGACGATCTTCTTCAAGGAAAACTTGGCTCTCCCTTGCCAGCAGGCGGAGTGGAGACTTTCATTGTTCAATTCAACCTTACAGTTGATCACAACATCACGTATTTCATTGCGTTAGTGGCAACGGACGACAGAAATCAATCAGGACACGTTTCAAATATCGTGTCGGTCTCTTTTGTCTACATGAACCCATTTTCTTTTGCTGATCCAGTGATAAGCACTGAATCCGAAACGAGTGCTGTGGATACAACGACTAAACTTACAATCCCAAAAAGCAAGCCATTCCCCGAGGAGTTGAACGTCACTGGTTATATCATAGCCGGTGTTGCCGTTGTGGTTATAATTATCACAACTGTTGCAATAGCACTACAAAGGCAAAATCTACTGAAGGGGTAAATTTTCCAATAGCAAGAACTATTTGTGACACAGATTAGATAGAAAACAATTTAAAGGTTTACATAACGTAACATTTTGATTTTCAATCTTTTTTTTTTCTTTTATTATTTAGCCGTACCCTTAACGGATGAACATATTTACATGTGAACCTATACATAAAAGCTGTTTGTTTCAATTTTAGGATCTATGAAGTTAGGAAAGTGTTTACAAAACGTACGGTAAGTTACATATATATATGCACAATTTACTCTCTTTAAAAACATTTTATTAAGATTAAAAACCATCCGGAATAAGTGACCATTTTAAGAACCTTTCAAGATATTGAAATGATTAAACTAATTATTTTATATTCTAACATTCCATTATGTATAGGGAAATCGACAAAAACCGATGAATAAAACGGAAACAGCAGACGCAGGCGTCTAACGGTGGGATTTAAAGTGATCGCATACCCATTAGGCAGACCAAAGATGGTGACTATAGGCTGCCTCTTGTAATTTTATTCAGATCCAGTCAGACTTGCCCATGATTGGTCTGCTGCCTTTGGAGACGTCACATGTACTATTGAACATGTAACCCCATAGCATAGCTATATGGAATCTTTAACATATATATTGAATTAGAATTTGTGTATTCAAAAGAGCTGTATCGACTGAATACCATAACCCCCTGGTGTAAGCGCATAAATATTTTATTTCCTAAGCAAGAATAAGATGGTAATGCAATTTTTTAACTGCCGTAGGGTCTACATACCTCACGAACACAACGTTACAGGTCACACAATAAATAATATTATAATTCCACTTGATTAACAAGAGACCACTTAGCTGACAGTAGAAAAGATGTGCACATATCCATAAAATAAGGAGGAATGTTTAAGTTATATTTAAATGAAATATCATGATCACAGGAACGGAGTACTTATGTATATGATCAGCATACATGTACGTGTGGATATATACGTACAATAATTTCTGTGCACTTATGTACATACGGTTAACATATACAAAGACTTTAATGTGTGCACCGATGTATTGAATAACATGCCTCATAGTTTGCAATTCACCTAACGTTTGAATTATATACTATCGAAATATTCAAGATCGAAGTTTCCAGGAGTTTCCAATAAATATGTGTATTCAAGATCGATATCACAGTTCCATTGCGTTTGTATCATAAAATGCATATATTTTGCCCGTATGGGAAATCGTGCTTATCCAATGACCAAATGTTGTATTAAAATACATTTCTTTGCAGGACAGTTATAGTTTTTCCCTGTAGGAATTACATGCAGACGTTTGTTTTATAGTCCGGATTGATACCGGGTTATGCAATATGGATCAATGGTTTAACTTTTAAGTGGCGAAGAAACCTTCAAATTTCACTCAATGTCTGTGCAGCAAGCTATAGGCTATTATATTATACCCCACACATCTTGCCAATTTATACTCTTTGTAATCAATGAGTTTTGCAGCTGTTAGGTCAACAAGTACAGTTTAATTATATCAATAGTCTATGTGTGGTACCAAAAATTTTGAGTTCCTTAACACCCCTCCTCAAACTATAGGCTCAATGAGCTTTCTTCGGCGTGTCAGTCTGCGAAATTTGAGAATGATATACTCGAAAAACTCTATAAAAGTGAGCGCACTAAACCCCATGAATAGCCCCAGTTGGCCTCCGATATCACCTGAAAGTAAACACAAAGAGCTTTACATATTTCTTTGGAAATTTATTTAAAAAAAGACAAGAAAATCGAATGACAAGATGCCTAGTCATTAGACTACTAATGGAAAACAGTCATTTTCATTCCTTTATGTAATATCAACAGCTTTTGCTTTAAGAGAAGTAATACCATGTCTTGCAATCCAATAATGCAACTTAAAAACGAAATGTTAAATTTTAACTTCTCATGTAATTTATCAACTGGTTCCAAGTGAATTATCCCCCAAAATTATAACAATGTTTTGTTTGAACTTACTCAAAAGTCCCGACTCTTCCACCGCTTTCTTCTGTTCCATGGACTCAAGGTTGAGTTCTTCGTAATATACATCAAGCGCCAGTAGATTGTCCCTGCAACATAGCACAGTTTATGTGAATTTCATAATTGTTCGCATACCTCAAAACGAGGCTTTGCGACCTGATGTGTATGCAGTTCATCATCAGTTGCAATACTGCCATAATTTGCAGATACGCAAACGTGCAATCCACACAACTCTAACACATTGGGGGATAACTTATGTGAGCTGCCTTTTAAACCCGTCCATGACAATAATTTTCTGTCAATTAAGTCAATGAGTTTTTCTCCCCGAGGGCCCGCGGCGAATATTGTAGTGATCCGGCATCGGTGTGTGGCTTGTCTTGGCCTCGATCCGAGTCGAGGCTGAGTGTCAGTTTGGGAGAAACTCGATAGCTGTAAGGAGTGGGTTACAGCGAGGAGCACTGAGAACAAAGGGCGACGCCATTACTGTGAAGCAAGATAGAGATAGAGGTTGGAATCCTGATTTCTAGTGGTTATCTATAGGAAAGGGATTTCGTTACTGCTAAGGTAAGCAGATTATTAGTAGAAATATCCGGAGCTAGAGTTGATTAGCGTAAGGGATTTCA